TTTCTTACTATAGGAACTTTACTAAGATAACTTTGAACTCGATCAGGTTTCCAAAAATCTGAAAGGAATAACCAAGCTTGCATAACCCTTCATTCAAAAAATAAAATTAATCGGTATTTCATTTATAAAAATAGATCATACCAAACAGCATTTGGATCAACTGTTTTCATTGCTTGAAAAATACCTGCATTCACATCAGCCAAATATTCAAGATCACTAAATTAAATAGTTTCATCATATTTATTATATTAATAAATAGAAATGTACCTAGTAGGTGGTGTCATCTCGTTAAATAAGTCACAAGCATAAAAATGAGATGTTAAATTAAGTAAAGTGATTGTCTATTAGAAAACGTTTTAGATAATAGATTTTTTTGTGAAATTAACATACTTCATTTAATAGTTCAACTCCAACTTTTTGAAAGAATGAATCAGTTGGATCGAGATATGGCAAACTAAAATACATATAATCACTTTATTCTATATCTGTTTATTTTTCTAGAAAAACACAAACCATGATTCATTACATCCAAAACCATCCCAACTAGATGAATTGTGAAATCGAGCTGAAGGAAAACGTCTAAAAATTGGTGCTCAGATTTTTTTTATGTCATTTGTCATTATTTTTTTCAGCTTACGATGGTGCCGTACGTGGCATAAAGCCAGTAAAAGCAGGTAAAACTGGTATAATACCAATTTCAGTCATTCGTTGAATGATCTGTTTAGCAAGTTGAAATTGTGATTGATGCCAACGATTCGATAAAGGACCACCATGCTTTTGAAGATTACCCATACGAAACCTTTTTTTTATTTTATACACATAAATATTAATTCAATAAATGTGATGATATTTACCAAGCTAAAAATGCAGGACCAGTAAAATAATCATCAAGTTCTGTTTGAGGAAAACCCATTCGTAGAAATACCTAAATACATTAGAATAAGAATTCATATTATTGATTTGAAAAACAAAAGACTTTATTATAAATATATTCCATTCCAGTTGTTGCATAAACTAAATTAATACCATTCATAGCCATCCAATCGATTTCTTTTTCCCATCTTTATATTCAAGAGAAGAAAAAAGAAACATGAAATAGATAAATTGTTTTTATTTTTACCTTGAGAAATTCCAAAATACAGCTGAATAACTAAATGTACATGGATTTCCATACCAACGATACAAATCATTAGCAACTATTCGAATTGGTTCATGTATTGGAAATAATGTTGAATTAGATAATCGAATATTTTTTCCAGACCAATAAACTAAAGAAAGTTCAGTTCAATTGCATTCAATTGTTCATTTTTCTATACCTGAACTATCTGCTACATATTTCAAATAATAATTAAAACCCCAAGCAGCAGCCACACCAGTTGATGCAGAAATTTGTATTGAACCTGATGTTGATCCATTAGAAAGTACAAAAACATCTTTACCATTGACAGCTAAATCTGCTTGAATTGAAACTTGAAAAAGTTTAGCAGATGGAGCATTATCAAGTGCTCGAGAAATTAAATCAGAAATAACTTGAGTCGAAGATGAAGATGAATGTGTAATTGGTTTTGGCCATCGAATAGCATTTGATCCTTTAAAATAATATTATAAATTAAAAAAATCTATTCTGTTCGATTCTTTCTCTCCAATTTATAGATGTAATACATTTTAGTGTCATCTAAA